ATGGTCACTAGTTAATGTCACTAGTTAATGGTCACTAGTTAATGGTCACTAGTTAATGGTCACTAGTTAATGTCACTAGTTAATGGTCACTAGTTAATATCACTAGTTAATGGTCACTAGTTAATATCACTAGTTAATGGTCACTAGTTAATGTCACTAGTTAATGGTCACTAGTTAATGTCACTAGTTAATGTCACTAGTTAATGGTCACTAGTTAATGGTCACTAGTTAATGGTCACTAGTTAATGTCACTAGTTAATGGTCACTAGTTAATGTCACTAGTTAATGTCACTAGTTAATGGTCACTAGTTAATGTCACTAGTTAATGTCACTAGTTAATGGTCACTAGTTAATGGTCACTAGTTAATGGTCACTAGTTAATGTCACTAGTTAATGGTCACTAGTTAATGGTCACTAGTTAATGGTCACTAGTTAATGTCACTAGTTAATGGTCACTAGTTAATGTCACTAGTTAATGTCACTAGTTAATGGTCACTAGTTAATTTCACTAGTTAATGGTCACTAGTTAATGTCACTAGTTAATGTCACTAGTTAATGTCACTAGTTAATGGTCACTAGTTAATGTCACTAGTTAAGGGTTTCACTAGTTAATGGTCACTAGTTAATGTCACTATTTAAATGGTCACTAGTTAATGTCACTAGTTAATGGTCACTAGTTAATGGTCACTAGTTAATGTCACTAGTTAATGGTCACTAATGTCACTAGTTAATGGTCACTAGTTAATGGTCACTAATGTCACTAGTTAATGGTCACTAGTTAATGTCACTAGTTAATGGTCACTAGTTAATGCCACTAGTTAATGGTCACTAGTTAATGTCACTAGTTAATGTCACTAGTTAATGGTCACTAGTTAATGTCACTAGTTAATGGTCACTAGTTAATGTCACTAGTTAATGGTCACTAGTTAATGTCACTAGTTAATGGTCACTAGTTAATGTCACTAGTTAATGTCACTAGTTAATGGTCACTAGTTAATGTCACTAGGTAATGGTCACTAGTTAATGTCACTAGTTAATGTCACTAGTTAATGGTCACTAGTTAATGTCACTAGTTAATGTCACTAGTTAATGGTCACTAGTTAATGGTCACTAGTTAATGTCACTAGTTAATGGTCACTAGTTAATGTCACTAGTTAATGTCACTAGTTAATGGTCACTAGTCGGACTGACACTTCGTTACATGTTTCATTTTTATTACAATGCATCTCAGATGTGTTCGGTGTTTTACTCACCCCAAGATCCTTTTCCTTGATCGAGATCTGCAGTCTTTGGCCCCCCTAGCTTATACTCTGCCTCCCGTCTTCTTTGCCCTTCCCCAATCTTCATGACTTTGCACTTGGTGGGGTTAAACTCCAGGATCCAGTTGCTGGACCAGGCTTGTAGCCTGTCCAAATCACTTTGTAATCCCGCCTTATCCTCATCCGACTGAATACTAATTAACTACACATCATCTGCAAACAGGGACACTTCTAAATCTATCCCTTCTGTCACGTCATTCACATATACTAGAAACAACACCGGTCCTAAGCTTGACCACTGTAGAACCTCGCTCGTCACAGGTTCCCACTCTGACACCTCGTCAAGTACCATGAATCACTGTTGCCTTCCTGTCAGGTATTCTCTGATCCATTACAGCGCCTTTCCTGCTATACCTGCCTGATCCTCTGGCTTGTGCACTAATCTCTTGTGTGGAACTGTGTCGAAAGCCTTCTTGCAGTCCAAGAAAATGCAATCTACCCACCTCTCTCTCTCGTCTTACTGCCATCAACTTGTCGTAAAACCCCAGGAGGTTTGTGGCACAGGATTTCCCTTCTCCGAAACCGACATGGTTGTCGTATATAAGCTCATCCACTTATTCCACCACTCTTCTCCTAACAATTTTCTCCATGACTTTGCATACTATTCATGTCAGTGACACTGATCTGCAGTTTAATGCTTCGTGTCTGTCCTTTCTTAAAAACTGGGACTACATTTGCTGTCTCCCATATCCCTGGTAGACGCCCTGTTTTCATGTGTTGAAGATTGTTAGTGGCACAAACAGCGCCTCTGGTTCCTCTCTCAGGACCCAGATAGAGTTACTGTCTGGTCCCACTGCCTTTGAGGTATCTAGTTTACTTAGCAGCCTTTTGACCTCCTCCTTGGATGTGTGTATTATGTCCAGCACTTGTTGGTGTACCCCACTATTCCGGTTTTCTGGAGTTCTTTCTGTCTCCACTGAAAATACTTCTTTAAATCTCGCACTGAGTTCTTCACATACTTCTTGGTCGTTTCTTGTGATCTCCTCCCATTCCTTCCTCAGTCTGATTACCTGGTCCTTGACTGTTTTCTTCCTGATGTGGCTATACAACAGCTTTGGGTCAGCTTGGCTTTCGATGCTATGTCATTTTTCGTATTGCCGCCTGGACCCCCCTCCTCATCTGTGCCTATTCGTCTCTGGCTCTTTAACTAACCTACTTATTTTCCTGAGTCCTTTGACTTCTACACTTTTCCATTCTCTAGCGCACTTAGTTTTGGCCTCTCTACACCTTTGTGTATGATGATGTCTACCTCCCTGCTAATATCCTGGCTGGAATTTTTTAAATAAGAATACAAAAACAGAAGAACCATGCTAAACATATACAATTTACACTAACAATCACTCTTGTGCCTATCTAGCTTATGTTAAAAGCTACCCAAACTTACTGTTTCAATTACACTACTCAGGAGCAGCGTCAACAATTCTATTGTCAAACTCTATCATTTCTTAATTTAAAAGGGTCGGTTAGTATACAGAACAAGTGATTTAAAGAGAATCATCATTGGTTCAGTATGTCTTGTCTTGAAAGTTCTAGTTATCCAGGCAATCACTTTCCTTGTGGTAGTAACAGCAAGCACCAGACAAGCCCAGCCCAGGGCCGGCTGCATGAGTAGGAAAACTATCGAAAGCCTTTAAAATTTTATCATTACTCCAAAGTGTAATACATAGGATTTTCGCTCTGTTGAATGATTCCAGTTTGTCCTGCCGTCCAGTACAGTCTTTATCTCATCCATTCTTCCATAACGGAGAAGCTTAAACTTATCCCGGTTAAACATCATATTGTTGCCTGAGGTCCACTGGAAGAGCCTGAAGAGTCGCTGTGTCTTCGACGGGCATCACTCTATAGAGATTCTGGTTTTATAAGCAAAGGATATTACAGTGCAATGATTTACGTCCTTGTATACGTGTGAAATAAGAACGAGGAAGAGCAGTGGGGTACGTACAGTGCCTTAAGGGACAGAGTTGCTCACAGTGTCAGCTTCCGACTTCACTCTTTTCATTACTACTCTCTGGATTCTATTTGTTAAGAAGTTAAAGATCCATCTGCTTACTTTCCAGTTATTCCTTCTGTATGCATATTTTGTGCATAATCACACCATGGTCGAACTTGTGGAACGCTTGTAAAATCAGTGTACACTACATCAGCATTTAGCTCGTCTTCCAGAACATCCAGGACCGTATGATTATGGTCTAATAAATGTGAGAGGCAGGAGTGACCTGTCTTAAACCTACGCTGCACTGATTAAGCAAGTGTTATGATTCCATGTGACTGGCAGTCTTGCTTCTTACAAGCTCCTTCAAAGATTATGTGTGAAGTTAGGGTTGTTGGTCTACAGTTTTTTGCAATTGCTTCACTGCCACCTTTGTCCAGCAGGGCAATATTAGTGGGTTTCAATAAATGAGATGATACCTGTGTCCAGGCTCCTCCTCCATTATATACTAAGATTCCAAAATAGTGGTTGCTTACAGTTTTTGATTAATATTGAGTTGTATGAGGCTGGTCCTGGAGCAGAGTGCATGGGCATGCTGGTGATGGCTTCTTCAGAGTTAACTGAGACGACTATATCAGAGAGAGAAGAAATGTTTTGATTCTCTGTCATGAAAAATTATTTGTGTCTTCGATGTGTAGAGTGATGACTGGTTCACTGAACACATCACTATGTGTAGTGATGACTGGTTCACTGAACACATCACTATGTGTAGTGATGACTGGTTCACTGAACACACCACTATGTGTAGAGTGATGACTGGTTCACTGAACACACCACTATGTGTAGTGATGACTGGTTCACTGAACACATCACTATGTGTAGTGATGACTGGTTCACTGAACACACCACTATGTGTAGAGTGATGACTGGTTCACTGAACACATCACTATGTGTAGTGATGACTGGTTCACTGAACACACCACTATGTGTAGAGTGATGACTGGTTCACTGAACACATCACTATGTGTAGAGTGATGACTGGTTCACTGAACACACCACTATGTGTAGAGTGATGACTGGTTCACTGAACACATCACTATGTGTAGAGTGATGACTGGTTCACTGAACACATCACTATGTGTAGAGTGATGACTGGTTCACTGAACACATCACTATGTGTAGAGTGATGACTGGTTCACTGAACACATCACTATGTGTAGAGTGATGACTGGTTCACCCAACACATTATTCTCAAAATTTTAAATAACAAAACAGGAGTGATCGTCCTGGCGAAGATACCACAAGCCACTACACTAACACAGCATACCATGGCACTGGTGGGGTTAGAACCCATGGAAAGCGAGTCGTAGAGCTGCCCTGGAGTTTTACGATTCACCTGCCATGAGTTCTAATCCATTTCGTACCTCGCAACCGTATTATTACTATTTTGTGAATGATAACGTAGCAAGACTGGCTCCATACACCCTACTAATTCCATTAGCTTGTCCTTCATGACTTATTTAAGAGACCAACCCTCATGTTTTACCTATATTATACACTTCTCCGTCACGTTCTGGTATCTGCTGAAAAGGGCCTTAGTTGGAGGTCGAAATATTTTGGTTGACAAGTGTACAGTACACAATGATATATCAACAACACTCAACCCCCCCCCCTACTGATCCACACAGTGTTGCACACACAGTGTTGCACACACACAATGCTACCCACACACAGTGTTACCACACACTCACCCAGGTGGGTCGGCGCCTCACTCGCTCGTCCACCAGCAACTGTTGTCTTACCTGCAATAATGATCAAACATTAGCATATACCATAAAATTATTTAAAATAACTGAATATAAACAAAAATAATCGCCAATTATCATTAAAAACATTATATATATTTATATATATATATATATATATATATATATATATATATATATATATATATATATATATATATATATATATATATATATATATATATTATATATATATATATATATATATATTATATATATATATATATATATATATATATATATATATATATATATATATATATATATATTGAGAAGCCAAGTGGACACATGATGGAAACCAAAGGGTAAAAAATGAAGACGATTATTGGGGATCAGCGCCCTTATGACCCGGTCCGAGACCAGGCTCCATTGTCAATACACATATATAAACATGTGTGTGTGTGTGTATTGCGACCCCTGAATGGGTCACAATGTATATAATGCATATTATCTGTTCTTATAATTTTATATTGCTTATATTTGCAATATTAGCTAAATCGTAAATATATTGCTTTATATTATTATTATTTGACTTAGTTATATTATTAGGTAGGATGTAACATTTATATATTACTCAGTGCTCATAGTTCGTGAGTGTTAAGTAGCTGACAGCATTGTCTAACTACTGTAATTACCGCTCCGCTTGTTTCCCTGCCGGCTTCTCTGTAGTTGCTGGGCAGCAGCAGTCCACGGAGAGTCACGTGATCAGGGGGGTTGATCACACCTCACCTGGGTGAGAGACTGCCTGGCCTGCACTCGCTCTCTTTTCTGGTTGATGTTGCTTCCAACAAGACGTGCCTCTCTAACTCTCCCTTGTGGGCCCTTGTTGAAAGATCATCTCTGTCGTTTTCTTGTTGTTGGTTCTGTGTAACTCTGTTCACAGAGCATGGCCTAGACCTAGTGATTTTCGACGTTGTACTGAGGTTGTGTCACATAGACACTCTGAGCAATTCAGGTCCTGAGCTGTAGCTTCTGACCTAATTTGTAGTGGTATCTGTGCACTGTCACAGTCGGGGATTTTCTTATGCTGAACTCAGATTCAGTAGTATGGGAGTTTTGTGACTTTTGTGGAGGATCTGCTGATGGTCCCTACTTAGTGTCGTTATATTATCTCCTTGTTCCTGATTCTGTGTCGCAGTTGCTTGTAATATTGTTGTTTGGCTTATCGGTCGCTTTATTGGTCAAGCAAGCTGTTCTGATTGCCAGGTTGGTCAAGAAGTTAGTTTATGTGAGGACTTTTAGTCAGTCGCTGGTTAAGTCTAGTCGAGTCTTGAGACATAGCGAACTACTTAGAGCACTTACACACATACACACAAACTTACTTGTATATATCTGTACTATGTTATTAAATACTAACAATGTACCAGACGGTACTTAAAAGCCATTAAGATGTAATATGTGCCTTCAGCACAATACTACTGTACACCAGAGAAGTGACTATTTTGATTATATTGATTAATTTACTTAGATAATATACGCCTAGACAACTTTATTGTTATTAATAAACTTATTAAATTTTAATTTCTCTAGTTAGTAGCCTACCAGTTGTAATCCTGAAACACTATTGAATCTTACTAAATTCTAATGGATAATTGGACCAGGATACTGACTACTTGTTACAAAAACCCAGTAACAGGCTGGATGCTAGAAGGGCAGTCCTTTCTAGTATTACCTGGAGATCTCTAAGCTTATTAGATATCGTGTGTTTTGTAACAGTGTGTGTGTGTGTGTGTGTGTGTGTGTGTGTGTGTGTGTGTGTGTGTGTGTGTGTGTGTGTGTGTGTGTGTGTGTGTGTGTTATTTATACCACAGTGAAATTTTAAATAAAATGAAAAATTAGACACAAGTGAAACATCTGGGTATCTTTATTGTAGACGTTTCGCCATCCAGTGGCTTTATCAGTATAAATTCAAACACATAATGTTAAAATAATGGAAGTATATACAAAAGCTTAGGTAATCAGTCCCTCAGCCTTGGTGGTGAAGACCACCGTAGTCGTGAAGGATCTGAAGCACAGCCTTGAAACCTGGCGCCAGGTGAGGGAGATGACCTTGTTAAAGGTCCTGGACCAGACTTGCTTGCTGCTTCAAGATTAAGATACTTGTGCTACATTTAGGTATCTTTACTATGGAAACGTTTAGCCAGCCAGTGACGTCTTCAGTCCAATTCAGAGAAGAACAGTGGTAGATGATGAGGAGTTTCAGGTAATCAGTCCCTCAGCCATGAGTTGATGTATTCAATCCATCAGTCTTGAGAAAAATACAACATATGAGCAGAGAAGAGGCTTATACACTGGAGTCAGGTGAGTTGAGGCAGCAGGAGGCGGAGTCACAGTGGGCAACTCCACTAGTGTAAGTAGGTCATGTCTGTGGTTAGCAAAGCCTTGAAGAATTCCCTCTGTTTTCTAAACTATTTATACAATATCTGCCAGACACAGCAACATATACACAAATAATCTGCATATAAAAAGTTTATGAAGACGTTGCAGTCCAACTTATACCATTAACTAGTTATACTAACACACGAAGGTAAGGAAGCCAGAATATATAGGAGAGGAGGGCAGGGATGAGACAGAGAGAGACACACACAGTTGATGAACAGACATCAGGAATGTAATGACTTTAGACTGTGTTATATATATAATGAATTTATATGATGGTTGGTGTGGGTTTAGTGAGGCAGCGAGTGTCCCAGGCAACATCACACTCCTGTCCTGCAGTGAGTGTCCCAGGCAACATCACACTCCTGTCCTGCAGTGAGTGTCCCAGGCAAGATCACACTCCTGTCCTGCAGTGAGTGTCCCAGGCAACATCACACTCCTGTCCTGCATTGAGTGTCCCAGGCAACATCACACTCCTGTCCTGCAGTGAGTGTCCCAGGCAACATCACACTCCTGTCCTGCAGTGAGTGTCCCAGGCAACATCACACTACTGTCCCACAGTAAGTGTTCCAGGCAACATAACACTCCTGTCCTGCAGTGAGTGTCCCAGGCAACATCACACTCCTGTCCTGCAGTGAGTGTCCCAGGCAACATCACACTACTGTCCCACAGTGAGTGTTCCAGGCAACATCACACTCCTGTCCTGCAGTGAGTGTCCCAGGCAACATCACACTACTGTCCCACAGTGAGTGTTCCAGGCAACATCACACTCCTGTCCTGCAGTGAGTGTTCCAGGCAACATCACACACCTGTCCTGCAGTGAGTGTCCCAGGCAACATCACACTCCTGTCCTGCAGTGAGTGTCCCAGGCAACATCACACTCCTGTCCTGCAGTGAGTGTCCCAGGCAACATCACACTCCTGTCCTGCAGTGAGTGTCCCAGGCAACATCACACTACTGTCCCACAGTAAGTGTTCCAGGCAACATAACACTCCTGTCCTGCAGTGAGTGTCCCAGGCAACATCACACTCCTGTCCTGCAGTGAGTGTCCCAGGCAACATCACACTACTGTCCCACAGTGAGTGTTCCAGGCAACATCACACTCCTGTCCTGCAGTGAGTGTCCCAGGCAACATCACACTACTGTCCCACAGTGAGTGTTCCAGGCAACATCACACTCCTGTCCTGCAGTGAGTGTTCCAGGCAACATCACACACCTGTCCTGCAGTGAGTGTCCCAGGCAACATCACACTCCTGTCCTGCAGTGAGTGTCCCAGGCAACATCACACTACTGTCCCACAGTGAGTGTCCCAGGCAACATCACACTACTGTCCCACAGTGAGTGTTCCAGGCAACATCACACTCCTGTCCTGCAGTGAGTGTCCCAGGCAACATCACACTACTGTCCCACAGTGAGTGTTCCAGGCAACATCACACTCCTGTCCTGCAGTGAGTGTTCCAGGCAACATCACACACCTGTCCTGCAGTGAGTGTCCCAGGCAACATCACACTCCTGTCCTGCAGTGAGTGTCCAAGGCAACATCACACTACTGTCCCACAGTGAGTGTCCCAGGCAACATCACACTACTGTCCCACAGTGAGTGTTCCAGGCAACATCACACTCCTGTCCTGCAGTGAGTGTCCCAGGCAACATCACACTACTGTCCCACAGTGAGTGTTCCAGGCAACATCACACTCCTGTCCTGCAGTGAGTGTTCCAGGCAACATCACACACCTGTCCTGCAGTGAGTGTCCCAGGCAACATCACACTCCTGTCCTGCAGTGAGTGTCCCAGGCAACATCACACTACTGTCCCACAGTGAGTGTTCCAGGCAACATAACACTCCTGTCCTGCAGTGAGTGTCCCAGACAACATCACACTCCTGTCCTGCAGTGAGTGTCCCAGGCAACATCACACTCCTGTCCTGCAGTGAGTGTCCCAGGCAACATCACACTCCTGTCCTGCAGTGAGTGTCCCAGGCAACATCACACTCCTGTCCTGCAGTGAGTGTCCCAGACAACATCACACTCCTGTCCTGCAGTGAGTGTCCCAGGCAACATCACACTCCTGTCCTGCAGTGAGTGTCCCAGGCAACATCACACTCCTGTCCTGCAGTGAGTGTCCCAGACAACATCACACTTCTGTCCTGCAGTGAGTGTCCCAGGCAACATCACACTCCTGTCCTGCAGTGAGTGTCCCAGACAACATCACACTCCTGTCCTGCAGTGAGTGTCCCAGGCAACATCACACTCCTGTCCTGCAGTGAGTGTCCCAGGCAACATCACACTACTGTCCTGCAGTGAGTGTCCCAGACAACATCACACTCCTGTCCTGCAGTGAGTGTCCCAGGCAACATCACACTACTGTCCCACAGTGAATGTTCCAGGCAACATCACACTACTGTCCCACAGTGAATGTTCCAGGCAACATCACACTACTGTCCCACAGTGAATGTTCCAGGCAACATCACACTACTGTCCCACAGTGAATGTTCCAGGCAACATCACACTACTGTCACACAGTGAATGTTCCAGGCAACATCACACTACTGTCACACAGTGAATGTTCCAGGCAACATCACACTACTGTCCCACAGTGAATGTTCCAGGCAACATCAC